AGAACATACAGCGAGATATGTGAAGAAAATTGGGAAAAAAATATTCATCATTATGGGTTTCCGAGGCGTACGCTGCAAAAATCGTTTAAGATAACCAAAAAATATGTATGAGAGAATGATTTCTCTTTAAATGATCTAAAAAAAATTCCGCTATGTTATTTGTTTATCTCTTAAGATTATCTTGCAAGAACGACTGGAAGGGACGCGACCGACGTCGTGGTTAAAAATGAATTTGGATGTCCGAAATACTCGAACTCTACGCGAACGAAGTCACTGGCTGAGCTAGTATAAAATATTAACATTCGCTATTGACCTATTGTGGCTTTGGTTAATTAGAAATCCACAAAATTAAACCGAATCGCGATTAAACTTCAACGTTTTTTCGATTCCGAATTAAAATTTAAGATGCAGACGAAGTTTTCTCAATTTTTAATTTTTCAAAAAATATATAACTGCGTTAAACATTCGGTGAAGATCAAACTCACGACCATTCATTTTTAACAATACATTCCTAACCTTAGATTAACGAGCCATCAGAATCCTTAGATCCCGGCAGATCCTTTATTCCGAAGAAAGTATTGACCGAGTAAACAATTACAGAATAAAAGAGCAGATTTATCAAAACCAAGGAATGTACCTCAAACTGGAGAGGCCGTAATAAAAATTTATAGGCAATTTGCGGAAAAAATACTGGTTTACACAAGTCTTTTGTGTTTTACTAATGAAAGGAATTTCCTCGAAGACTTTTCTTGGCACTGCTTGTATCCGCTGGTTTTCTTCATATTTTTTTCATCTTGATCTATTGTCAGTTCTGGCTTGCGGTTCGCATAGTAATTATTATATTTCTTTTCAGTGGAAAAGTGGTAAGGTTTGTGAGTTATTCATTTAAAGCTAAGTTACTTGAATAAGGTAGAGAATTTCCATCACAGAAGATACAAATATAATGTAAAAATGTAATACAAATGGTAAACTTAAAATTCCATAAGTCTCCCCGTGACCACGATGCTGCAAAGCATCAAAAACATCGGGCACATGGTTCAAGTAATTTTCAAACAAGTTTAAATAATATATATCGCAATTTGAACAGTTAAAGTGTATTATTTAAATATGTACTACTCGCGTAAAGTACAGACAGTATTTGATTATGTTATGGAATATAAACATTATAATAAGATATCGTCTTATACTTAGTTTTAACTATTTGAAACTATTTTTATTTGGGGTCCTTTATCACAAATATTTATTTTCACAATTGTGTAATCTTGTTTTAGCTAATGTTTAGTTCCAAGCCATTTATATAGCTTTAGCTGTAGGAATACCAAATAAACGATAAACAATTTTTATAAGAAGAAGAAAGCAGGTATAAAACTTGATTCATATTTTCGTCCTGCATATTTTTTTTTGTGCGGATTCAAACTTTGGACGCCCTTAAACAAACTTCTAGGAAACACGTACTAAGCTATCGTATTGGCAAATTACGATAGATTATAAGCTATTAACTATGTGGAAGTTCAAATAAACAGTATTATCTTAGATATTTGCTGTACCGCACCATTATGTGAATTTGCATACAACTCATGTAATATTCATGTTTAAGTTTCTGGATCAGCTGATATCGCTCTGATGTGGCTTGTTGCTTTGATGAAGCACCATAATTACCTTACTCCTTACCTAGTGAGCACTAAGCTTTAATAGACCTATGAATTTAAACAAAACACTTTAACGTTTAATACGCGATATATTTTACGGAGAGACCCGTGGCTGCTGCAAAGCATCCAAAACGTCGGGCCTTTTAACTACGACCAAAGTCAAAGAAGTTTAACTAATATACATATACAACTATAGATATATATCTATGAAATTTGGAAATAGAGGTTTTACCTAAAATTACCTACCTGTAGTTACGTTAGTGCCTTAATATTTTAATAAGCCATTTTTAACGGTTTTAAACGTTATGTATATTATTTAACTTATTCAAAATTCCACTTGACCCCCAGGCTACTGCAAAACATTCTAAACGTCGACACGTTAACCTTTAAGACCAGTGCGGTCTGAGAGGGCCCCAGCAGGTACTTGACTTGTTAGTTTACCCCTTTCCCAGCACAATACGTATCCCCATTTTTTTTGTAGCTGTAAGTTGTGTGCCCACGTTGACGTTGGAACATGCAGTGTTCTTGTCGCGGACTTATTTGGTGAGTAATTACGTTTTGAAATTTCGACGCGGCCTCTCAGGCCCCACGTCGGTGCTTACGTAAGTTTTTTTTTTTTTATAATAAACTGTTATTGTCACAGATATTATGAACCAGGGAATTCCGTTAATAAGCGAAATAGTTTTGAGGCAGATTTACAACATTCAAAGAGATCTCAGATATGTATAAATATATCGAATCCAAATAGTGATCGGTGATTGAGAGCTGGTTTGCAGTTGAGACTTCCAGCGGATCAGAGGTCGATTACGTTGGCGAAGATTTTTGTTTGGAGCACAGCGAGCATGATACGGACACTAGTATTGATATTACCAGAAATTATACGGAGTAGATGAAATATATAAGAAGTGCTCTGTGTATACTTGCAGACAATTTTTTATCGGATTTTGGATTTTCCATTAATTTACACCACATATGTCATGTGGGAAGACAAACTGATAGAGAAGCCATTATAAAACAATTAGTTCGACAGTTAGTGTTAGATCATATAAAGGGAAGATTTTGTAACACAAGGTTATCCCGTGAACTTCAAATGAGCGAGAGTACTTGGTTTTGATAAGCCAGAGACTGTGAAGATGAAGCTGTGGAAGTCAAGACATGAAAGACATGTGTATCATGGCCACGTAAATTGAAAATAAAATCTACCTATAAATGCTATTAATGCAAAAAGCACGTTTGTTTGCAGTGCGTGAAACAAATGTGCCTTGTCTGTGCTTAGAATTGAAGGCGTTGTTGGAGTGTGGCCATTTTTTTTCTGAAGGTCTATGTCCCTACAATTTTTTTTTTCTAAGACTTATATCAATCATAAGTGAAAAATACTATTTGTTGTTATTCTGAGTGGCTTATTTTTTATGTTTTGGTTTTTTATAACGAATAGTCAGCATATTTCACCATAATTCACGCCAAATATTATTGTAGTCTTATATTAAAAAAAAAAAAAAAAGTTGATTTCCTTTCTATGCTTATTTTTCTCGAAGCCTTTAATTTTTCATCTTATTGCAAAAACAAATTAACTCATCTTTTTTTTCTAAATATGCGCGGCCCCTCAGGCCTCACATCGTTACTAAAGTTACTAAAAATGCACCGTCGTGCATGCGACTTATAAGTTTAGTAAAAAAATAAGCAACTATAATATATATATATATATAACTTCACGTTTTAGAACTTTGAACATATTTTATTCAAATGAATTTTAATGTAGCTTTACCCTACTCCTTATACCAACATATATTTCCTATCCACAAACAAGGAGTTTCTCTAAGATATTATTCTGAGGGAAATATATTTTTTAAACCGAAGCCAATTACGTCTAGACATTTTGTTTGAAGCATATTTATCTTCTCCTTTAAAGAAAAATTCTGTGTTAGAACTTTATTAAAAAAAAAAAAATTACTACTTACAGGTCGACGCTTTAAAATTGCTAAAGGCGCTTGTAATTTGAATACCTGAAATGAAATGATAACTTCTTAAAATAGGAAGAATAATGCAATAGTTAGTTGTGTTGGGTCTATCATTATAATCATTCATGTTCCGGCTGATACCAACTACTTTGTCGAGTATTTAAAAATCATTAAATAAATGCGAAAATCCGAACTTTTGTACAATAAAACAAAAGCGGGTAGAATTGTTTTAAATTCAGCCCATTACCAGTGCAGAGCCGAACAAAAGAGTGTATTTTACAAAGCGAGAAAAGTTACAATTTTTTCGTTATTGCAGTACTGTTTGCCAAAATAATGTAACGTACAGTTTTAAAATGCTCCATAGGAATACAATATACAAACAAAAACTTACTCGTACAGTCCGCAGAACGAGAGGTCGGCCTTTTGGATAATTTTAAATTTAACTTAATAAAGAGGAGATGGATTATTTGTGTGTTTAAAAATAATTAATAACAAGTAGTAAACATTTACAATTTTTTACTTTGACGTCAGAGACATCCTCCATCTTTAGTCTCCCCGTGACCACGGCTGCTGCAAAGCATCCGAAGCGTCGGGCCGATAATTTTCAAACAAGTTTAACTGAAATATATCGCGTTTTAATTGTTTAATTGTCAAAGCTAGATTCTAAAATTTGCACTTTAGTTACACCGATATAATTGAGACTGATAGAATATTAAGATGAATATTCTAACAATTAACTGCTAGGATGTTTCCTTAGGAGGAACGCGAAGACCATTTTTCTTCTTTTTCGCATTTATTATATTATCATCAATGTCTGTATCAAATCTCCTCTCGCCTACTCGGATTCGCAATAACGATTATCCTGGGTTGCTATCTATTCGGGGACACCTGTAATTTTCGAGGTTCTTATCAAGCACATTCTACCAGTAGAACTCAGGTCTTAAGATGTCAGTAAAGATCTTGGGGTTGTCTCATCGTGTACCAGTAGGTTGAGTCTGATGCTTTAAATGTTTTAGACAATGCTGGCTATCAAATAAACTGCAGCATAAAGCTAGAAGACTAACGTGTTAAATATTTTTGGTCAAAGTTTAAAATGCACGGTCTTTCGTCTAACTGTGCGTTAAGTTTCTAAAGTATATAAGTACAAGAATGAATAAAAAAGTGATAGTACATTTAACATAGATGTGAAACTAAATGTACACGTTCGTAATGTGATTTTAATAATAGTAATTACATGCAATAAAAATAAACGATATGAAATCAGAATGTCAACCGAGTTAGTTTACAATGCACATACGTCAGAAATGACTGTACTCACACAAACGTGCATAATACAACAGTGTATTTGTGATCGTGGATCTAACTGCGCGTGAGTCGGTTGCGCGGTCTAACCATGACGGCTAATTCTGTTGATACGTGAGTGAAATTTTATAGTTTTATTATTGATAATGGTTACCTATTATAATATTTGTTTAGTTTTTCCGGAAGCGTATACAATTATTTTTTCATTGCTGTTTCTATTGTGTTTTAAAAGAATCTTTGATTAATTAATATGTTAAATCTATTTTCATCCAAACTTAACGTTGTATAAAAAATTAAAACTTACAATAAAGTTACTTGAAATACAAATAGAAGGGTAACCATTACATATGTAGAAAATGAATTGATAAATACTGCTTTTTTTGGCAAAATGGAGTCTTAAAGCAAAGCTTAGAGATGTATTTACAAATTATTAAAAGATAATTTAATAATTTTTTATTATATATTTCAATAAGTAATACAGTACTCGGTATTTGTTACCTACTCGAAAGTGGTATTTGGTATTTATGAAGTAGGTATCAATGTATTGTTTTTTCTTAGTACACAAATAACTATAATTGTGGATTTGCACTAACCGTAAAATTATAAGGATTACATCAGTTAATTTTCGTACGATTAAGAATCATTAATTCTTAATTTGATTAAAAAAGAGCGTGGGTAGGTGGGTAGATGACTTTATGAAAGTGGTAATACCCTAACCATACAACGATTAAATACGGTGCGCTGTCGGCCTATTTTGGATTTGGAAATTCACAGGCTGAAACCAAAACGCGATTAGTTTTTATGGCCTTTTCGTCCGTCTACGTGGTTCGCGACCCGGGCCTGAAAATTCTCGCAATGACGTTTTAAACATATGTGTGGGATAACAATAGTTTGAAACAAACGTTTATAAACAATTATTCACGGATGAGACTCACTTATTATAGCTATACAGTTATTTGCATGACAAAGAAGTACGGAATGGACGAGTTTTCCATTTTATAAGTTAGTTTTTCACAATCGTCACAGATTATATACATCGATCTTTATAATACTAGCTGTGTCCACGACTTCGTCCTTCGTCTGCGTGGAATATGAAATTTTCTTTATTTACCTTTATTGATTGTGCCTTGTCTTGAATCCATCTACCTATACCTTAATGGGTCCAGCGAACTTTAATAAGTAAGTAATTAAACGCTATATATAACTAGCTGCGTCAGCGACTTCGTCCGCTTAGAACAGATATTTTGGGCTATAACCCTTGTTACATATTTTTGTGATCTTGAACCGTTTTCGCAGCGTACTTAAGGGAAACTCACAGAGATGGTAATTTTCCCAGTTTTCTCCACATTTCCCGCTGTTTTTTTGCTCCTATTATAATATAATATAGCTGTGCGCTATTTGTAGCCAAAACAATTCGAACCAGTACTTCCTAAGATTAGCGCGTTCAAACAAACAAACTCTTCAGCTTTATTAGTATAGATCCACCTTTCCTATTGCAGAATGTCGGTGACGTCACGTCCAACTGTGTTTACGAAATGCTGCTTTTGCATTCCGCTGCGAATCGGCTGCTTCATCTTGGGTTACTTGAGTGTTGTAAGTATCATATAGCTGATATCATAACAATCTTTATTGTCACACACAAACACAAACAATGAAATAAAAATACGGCGTTTTGTGTTTACTAATTAGAGACGCTGCAAAAGTAATCTATGTGTTTAAATAAAACACTTTAACGGGTTAAAACGTTATTTTTCTCCCCACGGCTGCAGCATCCGAAACGTCGGACCGTAGTTAAAAATAATTTTCAAACAAGTTTAACTAAAATATATCGCGTTTTAAACCGCGATATATTTTAATGGCTTATTTAAATGTGTACTACTTGCGTAAACTACAGACTGTATTTAATCTATGTGTTATTATATAATAGTAGAGAATATATAGATTAGTATAGTAAAGAATTAAATGTACACACAATTTGGCATTCTATTGATGTGGTAAAGTAATCTTTTTACGCGAGTAGTATACATTAAACATTATTTAACCGTTCGAATCGACAAAACTATTTTTATTAGCGACCCGAAGATTTGAAATTATAAATCTATGATTATATAAAAGAAGTCATCTTTATACAGCACATAATAAAAAAAACAAACATTGTTTTAAACAGCTGTATAAGATGAGGATTTTTCCCTGCTGTAAATATTATCTGTGGTTAGATTACATTTTCAACTCAAATAGCCCACATGTTTGTTTGTGCGTCAACGAATATACTAAAAACAAACAAACATATTCAGATCGTTAAAAACACATTTCGTTTTAGTCAAGTCACGGATTTAAATAAAACACTATCCCAGCTTTATCTTGGAAATATTTTTCGGCCTACGTCTTAAGCTATTGCTGCTGCAAAAAATCCGCAAAGATGTGCGCGGTTAAAAATAACTTCACTATTATGTTTCGCGTTTTAATCCGTCGAATTTTAAACAGGAAAAGGACGTTTAACGTACAATCGATTTAATAAATTCACATTATTTTAAAACTTTTTTAGCTTGTATTATCTGTCTTAGACCGTACAGTTTGTTAAAAACAAGTAGATTACTAACTAATGGTTAGGATGTGAAGAGAAAACATTAAACGCACTTTAAAACTACTAGTCAAAACTCAAAACAATTAATGTAATTTCTTATACCCGTTGTTTACATCAAATTTATATACATTTTTAATATAAACATATACGAGTATATATGGTCTATAATATTATTTTAATTATATCTTTATTAAGTTTCGTAGAACAATTATTTCCGCAATTATGTAATTGGTTTTTAAACGATACTTTGTTAATTTTTATTTCAGTGAAAACTATATGCCCGTATGTTTACAACACATCCTATATTACATGAACTAAACACTTTAATGAAACTCATAATAGTTTCAACATGGTTCATTCCCGTTACGCTCCACTATACAACGAAACATTACGATATTAGCTAATACCGCGGTGCTGTCTGCTTATTTTATACTTTATTACTTCCAATTTTTGTATGTAATAGGGTTTATGCTAGTTACAATGATGCAAGGCCATGCTGTTATGACGTAATTTGGAGATTGATTCTAATTTGCTAGTCTTGAAACAAAATAAAGTTTGAAAACATTAATATTTTTTACACATGAAGGCACTATATAATTTAAAAATCGAAAATAAATTCAAAAAATTGGTAGAGCAACAGCACGGAACGCTGACGATGCCGGTTCAAGTCATGCCCGATTCAAAAAAAATTTCAATTTATTTCCGATTTTTAAAATAAAGGTTTCTTATTGTATCTAGGGAGCCGCATTTATCTCTAGTTTTTGAAACTGATTAATGAGGACGACTATTCGATTAACGGGTGAATACCAAAAATATAACTTACTGTTTTTAAACACTGTCTGTAGTTTACGTGAGTTGTAGCGTCCAAATACGTTTAACTAATATACCAATTAACCATTAAAGTGATTCTTTTACTGTTTTTTACAAGTTGTAAAGTTGTTCTAAAAAATCCCAATATTTTGTGACGTGAAGTGTCATCTATTAAAATATATTAGGCCAAGATTGGCATAAGATTGGTCTGGCTTGTTTTTCATTCGCATTACATGATACTATGTTTGATTCTGAACGAAACATTGTATATTGTTATGTACATCAAAATATATGCTATTGATATTATGCTACTATAATAAGAATATATTTAAATTGAAAGCAATTAACAACACAGGCAGGGCTTGAACCGGCACCCACAGACTTTCGTGCTGCTGCTCTAACCAATAGACCTACCGTGTCATATACTTTTAGTTTATATAATGCCATCGATGTGAGAATGTTTTCAATCATATAATATTACAAAACGCCATGTAAAGTGATCGATAGCGAGTACAAATGAATTTGTTTGTACTGAGTACATAGTTTTGCGGATTGATTTTAACACTTTAGGCTTTCGATAAATCAAATTATAATTCAATTGACACCTAATTGAAATACAAATTATTGTTAATATTTTTATTGTGAGTTATGCAATATTTAAATAAAACACTTTAACGGTTTAAAACGCGATATATTAGTTAAACTTATTTAGAGATGATTTTTACCTTCGGCCCGACGTTTCGGATGCTTTGCAGCAGCCGTGGTCACGGGGAGACTAAAGATGGAGAATGTCTCTAACGTCAAATTAAAAAATTGCTACGCTAGCGCCATCTGTTCCGTCGAAGTTGGTATTTGAAGAAACTGGCCGGGTCCTTGCAGAATTGACTAACGGTGTCTTCGCGTTTGCCGGTATGCTGTTTATTGGGATCCAGAGTTTTTCTGGATCCCAATAAACAGCACAGATCCCAATAAATGTGTACTACTCGCGTAAACTATAGACAGTATTAAGTTATGCAATACTTTTAACAACGCAAGCTAAACGTGAGTTGACTAAGCTTAAAGATAGTCCGCGAGAAAGAAGAGAAGAGATTAAAAAAGTGTGAGCAAAAAAAATCTTACATAGACAAGTAAGTATTGTCTGTAGTTCAAGCGAGCAGTACACATTAGCATAAAACACTTATTAACAATATCCCAATAACCACGGCTGCAAATCTAAAACGTTTTGTCACAGGTAAAATATGTAAATAAGTTTTAAGCCCGTAAAAAGTATTTTATTGAAAAATACACACAAGTAGTCGATCAGATCTGAGCTCTGTTCGATTTATATCATTGTTTCTCTTGGATTTGAACCTAAAACTCGCGGTTTAATATTTATATTTAGTGAATGTCATAAAGATGGAACAATTTCCCAACAAATGACACTGAAGCGAAAAGACTTGTTATTTATTCGTAATTGTGGACGTTTAATTTGGTAACAAAAGATGATAATTATTTCAGTTGAGAACCTAACTTCGTTGGTTCGTTCTTTTGCCACCTGCTTCACTGCCTAAATAGAATTAAATATAGGGCTTGTGGTACACTGTCAGAAAGGAATTCTCTATTGGTTAAAACACATGCTGTCGTTAAGTAAGGCAAGAGGGAGATCTGTGTCTGTTTTTTGGCCTGTCCAACGGAAAAAAAAGTTTAAAACGCGATATATTAGTTAAACTTATTTGAAAATGATTTTTAACTTCGTGACCATGACCACGTAGCAATTTTTACTATGACATTAGATCCACCATTCATCTTTATTAGTCTTCTCGTGACCGTGTCTGCTGTAAAGCATCCGAAACTTCGAGCCGTCATTTGAAAATGAGTTTAACTAATATATTTCACATTTTAAACCGTTAAAGTGTTTAATTTAAATGTGTATAATTAGCGTAAACTACAAACAGTATTATGATGATCTACCCTGATTCTTACCTTATATTACGTGTTTAAAACCCGCTATAGCATAGCTCAATAAGTGTGTAAACGCTTTAGCGATTATTTTAAAAGCCTCAAAATATTAAACGCTGTCAGTCTCCAAGGTCTTCGCGCTTTTGTACAAAGTTGTGAAACCGCTTTCATTCTCATAAGTGGATTGGGGCGATATTGATTCAGAAACTCTTTTGCATTATTCTTTACATTTTGGGCTGTATAGTAACACAAGATGTTCCCGCGACTCAGTTTGCATGGCATGGTTATTTTACGCATAATATTATTAAGTAACATGTGTATATGTTGCTGAGGAAGTTGTTCGCAGAACTTACTCAGCTTTAAAAGACAGACAGATTAGATAATTTGAAGATTCATTTATACTTGATCCGTTTCGGCAGCGCACGATTTTTCCACAATTTCCATTTTTTTCTTTACTCTTATGATAGGAGTATATCAGCGTGTCTTCCTTAATTAATGGTCTATCCAAAACATAAATAATTTTTCTATTCAAACTAGTAGTTCCTGCGATAAGGGCATTCAAACAAACAAACAAACTCTTTAGCTTTATATATTAATATAGAGTAAAGATGTAACCAAATTATTTTGTATTGTTAAGTTATAAGTTACTCTTGCGCAGTCAAACTTTTCAATCATTATATTACAGACTTTTGCCTTCATAAGCAAAGTTATGTTAAAAATGATGTGCTCAATTATTTGCACTTCGGTCGAACTAATTAAATTTCCACGATTGGAAGCAAACTCGTTATTCATTACAAATTATGATTTACAGATTTTCAACACGCTCAACACCCTGGGCCTTCTAGCCGTGACCACCATAATCGGTGTAACCACCCACGGCTTCGATCACTACGATCCACCAGATCTCGATGACACCACTACAGGACCCATGATAGAGGCGGTTGAAAGACCATACTTGAACAACATTGGCGTACTACTTCTGGTTATTTTGGCTGTAAATGTGGCATGGTTGGCTATCAATATAGCTTGCTTGGTTGGTCTACACAAGGTAAGAAATAAATACTAAAACCAACTTCCATTATAATACAATATAGACAAACATGTAACATTCCTTGATGTAAGGAAATACCGTTTATATATTTAGCCCAGATGCGCTGTCGATCTATTGTGGTTTTGGACATTCGGAAATCCACAGACTGAAACGTGATTAAAGTTTTGATATTCCCACCACCTCTTTAATATCCAGACGAAGTCCAGAACTTATCAGAAAAACTATAAATGGATTGGAAACATCTTGGACCCAGTCGGGGTCAAACCCACGACCCGTTTTAATTCAGTTTATCGCCAGTTCTTCTTCTTCGTTCTACGCCCTTGCTTTGAGAATTGGGAGCCAATATAAATTTATGGTCTTTCGTTTGTAACGGATGTGACGTTCTTAAGAGTACCTACGTGAATAAATGTTTTTTGAATTTTTAAATAAGTAACTTATTCAAAATTCGAACGTAACACTGTAAAGAGATGAAAAACGTCTAATTGCGAAGTAGTCGGTGTTGTGTAACACAGTAGTGCATAATGAATGCAAAGTGAATAATCAATATGAGAGCTGAATCTGAAGCACAACAATAGGATTTCAGGTAATAGATTCCTTCGTGCGTTAACCTACTTAGACTACGTACGGCTGTATAGTGTTTGCGAATGATTTTACTAACATCGGAAATTGCTTTATATCCTGAAATGTTAACCGCTTTAGTATGGAGTAAATATCAAACAAATATGTTTAAATAAAACACCTTCAACAGTTAAGTTATTGTTTAGTTTAATTTTATTAAACACGGCCCGATGTTTCGGATGTCCTGAAGGCCTTCTGGAATCATCTGGCAAAACTAGATACCAAAAAACAGCATACCGGTAAACGTGAGCGGTCACAGTCACAGTCAGTTCTGTAAGGACCTAGCTAGTTTATCCAAATACTAACTACGAGAAAACAGATGGCGCTAGCGTAGCAGATTTCACTTTGACACAAGGGATCTTCTTCATCTTCACCTCCGTGACCACGGCCACTACAAAGCACCCGAAATGTAGGGTCATAAATTAAATTAAACACGTTAACTAATAAATGTTTCGCGTTTTAAATAGTTAAATGGAAACTCATTTTTATGTCATCAATAAAACTGAAATGTGTACGACATACGTATTTGCTTAACTTATTTGCTTTAAATTAAGGCGCTGTTAACCGTCTTCAAAAAAGGAGGTTCCTAACTCGATTTTTATATATGCTTTGTTAACGACGGGTTTTATTAAGATTTTTCGACTGTGGTTCCATTTTAAAATCTAAAATAGTTTTTTTTTTAATTAAAATCTTTTGCAGAAACGCTCTGGCCCCATTCGTGTGTACGTAGCCTTCGCGACTTCTCGCTTGCTCTTCGCTTTCATCGGTTTTATCTACGTGGTCATGACAGCTGGCTACGACGAAAGGATTATTATACACAGTATTGATCTTGGTAGGTATCGTTATCAGTATTTGGGGCTGCTAGAGGCAGAGTGGCCTAATACGTGTAACTGATTTATTGAAAATGAAGGAAAACGTTAATGAATTTGTACGGCCATTTGTGCTAAGAACTTGTTAATAATTATTTGATCACAGACTATAACAATATAAACAAGTCAAGCCATAAAATTGCAGTTAGGCTACACTGCCTCTAGCAGCCTCTTTTGTAGATCCGACAATAGATTTGAACAAGTTATTGGTTGCAGACAACGCCTATTATAATATTATTTTAGTTGCAGTCATTTACCAAATAATGTTTAAATATAAATTGACGCTTTAAAAATTAACTTAGTGAATATTATTCCCAAATGGACACAAAAGATGAAAAAGGTTTTTATGATAGAAAAGGACAAATAAGCATGTGAATTCACTTGATGGTTGATGAAATATACCAGCTATATAACATTTAAATAAGTATACGCGTTACCTATTTTTGGTTTTAGATATTCGAAAATCTACAGACTAAAACTGAATAATACATATTATAGCACGTAGTAACGTTATCCATAAAAATCGTTGTCATAAATAATAATCTATTTCAGAACGTCGATTATCCATGATTTGTAAATGAAATTGCTGAATGATTTTTTCAGGATTTTAAAGTAGGTTGACGATATCTGAAATTAACCTCCTGTCTGGTACTTGTAGTCTTTTATTAGTACATGTACGCAAGAATACGCAGCCCGTATTGTCTGGTTAATTATCCGTCTCGTTCCATTCGATGGGGCTGCCAATCAGTTTTGTTTTCTCGACAACACTTAACGCTGACTAAATAGGTCATTATTCTTTTGCGAAGGACCACAGTGTACAAAATTTACAGTAGGGAAATACAAAGTGAGATTGCGAAAATATATCTTTTTAATATTAATATTTATTAAACCTTATTTGAATATCACTTTGTTCGTTTGTTGTTAGGATCGTTACAAGTAAATGACATGCTTCAAATACTTATTAAATTTAAATAAAACACTTCAACGGATTAAAACGCGATATGTATTAGTTAAACATATTTGAAAATTATTTTAACTACCGCCCGACGGCTGCTGCAAAGCATCTGAAGTGTCAGTGGTAAAATAATTTTACCCACGGCCTGACAACTGTATGTATGTTAACAAAAAACATACAGATCGCATTTTAAGCCGTTAAAGCGTTTTATTTAAATGTGTCCTACGCGAGTAAGCTACAGACAGTACTTATTTATTTTCCAGGATTGACAGCATACTTTATCTTGGTCTACTACATCTATGCTATGCAGCTTGAGCGCGACATTGCCTCAGTACAAGCAACACAAGCAGCCGAAGAGAAAGTTCCTGAAATCTACTCCACAGACGTCGCTTTTATATATCCCACTAAAATTGATAAGGAAAAATTAATTGTATAGACTATTTATTAAACTAATTTGTAGGTACTTAATTCTATAATCTACTACTATTTTGACCAACTGTTTTTTTATTATTCTGTAACTCATTCACCGTATTGAATATGAGAATTAATTATTTCAACTGTCTACGTTAAGCTACATTAGAACTGTTTTTCGTATTGTTTTAAGTAAAATATATCTGAATTGAAAATGTAGATATTTTTTTATTCATATAAATCCTTAAAAAAAAGTAAAATTTAAATAAAACGTTTAAAACGCGATAAATTAGTTAAATTTAATTTGAAAATGATTTTTAACTTCGGCCCGATGTTTCGGATGCAGATGCAATTAGCAGCTGGTCACGGGGAGACGGTACTATAGACAGTATTTAAAAGTAAAATTGTTCTCAGGACGACGAAACAAGACGATAAACAAAAAATTGTTAATTATTCTAATGGATTTTATTGAATGGGTTTTTTTTTTTTTTGGGGGGGGGGGGGGGGGGGGGGGGAAATTTTTTTTTTTTTTTTTCCCCCCCCCTTAAAAAAAAAAAAACCCCCCCCCCCCCCCGGGGGAAAAAAAAAAAAAAAAAAAAAAGGGGGGGGGGGGGGGGGGGGGGGGCCCCCCCCCCGTTTTTAATAAAAAAAAAATAAGGAAAAAAAAAAAAAAAGGGGGGGAAAAAAAAAAAAAAAAAAGGGGGGGGGGGTTTTTTTTTAAAACCCCCCAATTTTGGGAACCCCTGGTTTGAATAAAAAAAAAAATTTGTGTTGGTTAGAGATTTATCGAGGAAGGCTTTAAAACACGATTTGACTAATAGAAGCGACGGAACAGTGTCGGTGTAAGATAAGAATGATTCCTCTCTAAAGCATCTAAAGAAATTTCCATCACACTATATATCTTTTAAGATTAACTTGCAAGTACGTGGGACGCGACCGATTTCGTGGAACAGCTAAAATTTATAAAGGTTTACAAAAACAAATTTGACTGCGGACAAAGTCGCTGACACAGCTAGTATTGCAATAAAATCACCACAAATATTTCGGCCGTTAAACAAAAACTCTTGAGCCGACCGAGACAAGGTCGTGAAGATTTTATACCTTGTAAGATATAGTTTATTATCCTTGTAACGAAATTTAAAGGTTCTATCTGTGTTTTTACGAGGAAACTTAAGCCTTTCCTTACGATTTATGACATTTATTGGAGACCGAACCTTGTACAATAAAGTGAGAAAATGTTTCACGACGTATTAAACATTAAGGGTAAAGATTCATATTAACCTACCAATGCGATGCAGACCACAGATCTCTATTATTATAGGAGTGAGGTTAAGATCCACCGCACTGTTTAAGCTTGGATTGGTGGGTTTCAACTTTTAACTTGCTCATTGCGGTATAGGACTGGTGTACTCTACTTCTGGATGCGAGACAAATCCTACTCTCAAACATCTTTTAATCCAATAAAAACAACCATATTGAATTTTTTTCAAATTTTCACTGTCATAACAAAAATAATTAAATGCGAAAGAGATCTAATATATACTATAGCGCATTAACTAACCAATATGTACATTACATAAAAAATAAGAATTATAGAAATCAAATAACAAATTCAAACAAAATATATCGCGTTTTAAACCGTTAAAGTGTTTTATTTAAATGTGTGCTGCTCGGACAGTATTTAATAAATACTACTTTAAACAATTACTATATAACATACTAATACATTTTATAATTGTAGTTTTGTACCATATTATACCTTAAAATTACAACTATAATATGTCGAGCGTATAACGTGTCTAAGATTCTGTGAACAGAGGTAAATAAGTGGCCTTAGCGGTGCTATTCTAGAGTTATGATAAAATGCCTCTTTGAAACCGCTTCAAAGTTCAACCCCTGAGGATGGATATTTTTACAAGGATGAAATAGCAAAGGTAAATTCAAAACGGAGCTTCGTTCAAATTCATGCAGGCGAGTTAGGGCTGTCACTACACAATTTTAACTTATTAATGTAATTGACACATTTTTATACTATGTAATAAAAAAATATTATTAATTAGAACCCAGGCTTCCGCTTGATTGTTCTCTATAGATAGATTTTCCTGGTCCAAAGAAGAGCATCTTCCATCTGAAATAAATTACTTTTAATAGGTTAAAACGCGAAAAGTATTAATAAACGGGGAAAATCGCGCAACCGACGGGAAACATCTGGCTATAGTTAGAGAATTCTAATATATTTCGACTTTTAAACCGTTATAAGTGTTTTATATAATCTTTGTGTAAAATACAGGCATCTAGACAGTTATTTATTGATACAGGACATGCAAATAAAGACCACGAAAAGCTTTTTTGGAATGAATATTACGTATTGTGACTCGTTGTAAGTAACCAGACGTTTTTGGCCAGTGGTTAGACCAAGGGTGCCCAAAAGGGCATCGAGGGGCATAGCATAGGCTTTTACCACGAAGAACGTTGAAGTGGCAAATGATAGACAATTTCAAGCAAAATGAAAATCAAAGCTACAGGAATGCCAGCACGAGTATTTTACATTATGCGTTCCTCTACTCAGACAAGATTTAGGACTTCAGAAGGTCGGCAACCAAACCGTTGGTAACCCTGGCGCAGGATTTAATTCTAAAACGGATATTTCATGGATATTTATATCTAATGCGAAAGAAGACAATTTTATTTTCAATTCACTGGATCAGCTCCAGAGCTCTCGGAGATTTTGGTGTTTTTTGTGTGGGTAATGTTACCTTCGAGATTTGCATCGGATTTTTGTCACGGAATATCAAATAGCATTTAAAACAAAAAGCCTAGCTCGTATTTCGCTTATACAAGGAAGAAAAAATTCTGTTAATACTGTCTGTAGTTTACGTGAGTAGTACACATTTAAATAATACACATTAACGGTTTAAAACGATATATGTTAGTTAAACTTATTTGAAACTTATTTTAAACTACAGCCCGACGTTTCTCATCGTCACCACTGAAAACCATCCGAAACGTCGGGCCGTAGTTAAAATAATTTTAATTTATTTTATTTAAATCTGATAACAGGTGAAAATGCCGTTACACTTATACCTAAGTATACTTTGGTCGAAAATTTGTAAGAAGAAGGGAAGGGAAAATTTGTAAGATAAAAAAGGGGTCTACTTTTTTATCTCAATGGGGAGTGTGGTAAATTGTACGACAACTTCCTCAGAGATAGTCGAGAAGAACCAGTAAACAAACCACCAGTCCTCTACTTTACTATCGAGGGAGCCGTTCCCCTGGTGCATCGGAGGCAAGGCAGTCTATGTGATGGGTCAAAATCTTAAACTAATGTCGGGAGACAATGCCATAATATTATAAACGCCCAATTTTAAAACCTAAAGTTTAGAATTCGAAGTTCACTAGTTTGAGCACAAGTAATGTAAGCATACAAAAGCCTTTTCAGTTGATTTTTAAGTTATACCGGATGTGTGGTTATTTTTAAATTATAATTTGCTCTATTTCCTATTACTAACTAACTGTCAGCTAACTAATCAGAAACTCTTATTACTTTTATTAATAGTTTATACGGAAAGCACTTTTGTGTTTTTCCGACGTAAGATGTACGTTGTTTTATGCACCTGATTTCAGTCTTAAGCTGTTTAATTATTATAAGCTCCAATTATTATTTTTATTTAATAATATTTAATTCCGGAAAGCAATTAGCACTTTCGACATAATATCTTATTGTCTTACTACAGAGGGCGCAAAAATGCTTTTCAAGCCGGAAATAAATAAACTGATGTGTATGAAGGTGTGTTGACAATACCCTAATAACGAAAATAGTTTGCTTATTTCCAAATGATCCAATAAAATATCGTAACACTAAAACAATCAGAAATGTCAATTGATCTGATTGTACGCAACTTAATAGGTTATTCTAATTTAATTAGATCTCATTGACCGCATTCTTAATTAATTATTAGATATACTAACTCCATTTTTTATTTATAGATTTGTTTCCCTTGTTACATAGTTATACCTACAGGTCTTGGGTTGGTTTTCCGGGAAACAATAAATTGTTTCAGGCCTCTGGGGTACAGAAGTTCACCTATTCAGTTTTTTGGACTGGCCGTCTTTAAACCAATGCCGAAACTAAATATGTAGTGATATGAATAATCCTCCGATTTAGCGGGGACGACACAACACTAGTGCGACGCGATTACCGCGCGTCCCGACACTAGCTCAGGATTCTGTCGGTTAAGCCTGATTTTGGATAATAAATTAATATTTAAGAGTTTAACATTGTTTTTCCGCCCTAACAGTAGGTATATAGAAGTTTAAAAAGTATTAAAGCTTTTATTTGAATTTTATTTTATATACTCTTGTAAATAGTATAATTATGCAGATGATCGGTTTTTTTTTAATTACATCAAGAATATAATTAAGTTAAAATAATTTTATAAAGATTCAAAAAGTATTAAAAACACATAAAATTGTTACCACAGGCGAGATTTGGTTTGATTGCTACAATAGCGTATCTGCTATCGATTTAGGTACCGAGCGATTTGATTAATTGAGAACAGCGTAGTTGATAGTGGTTTGTTACTTCGTATATCCACTTAATTCCCATGGCTAATGCTACAACAAAAGTTTAATGTGTACTTTGTAATAGTACGTAGCTGTACATTTCTATTAGATACTCAACATCTGCTGCTGTAACCACAACAGCATTTTGATTCAAATTAAATTTTGAATTATTTGCGGTCACATCTGCTGTTTATTTATGGCTAATTATGAGTGAATATCAATAAGCGGTGTGTTAATATTCCATGTAGAAATTTTATTAACTGGACTAATAGCTTCCACTCTCTATTGTATGTTTTTTTCTACTTGGCATTTTTACTTGGTAAACAAACACACATTACATTAAATGCTGTCTATAGTTTACGTTTAAAAAAAAAGTTTGCATTGCTTTACGATGAAAACACTTTGGGACAGTGGATTTTATATCAAACTAATGAACTATTGAAATACACTTGGTAAAAACTTTAATTACATGCCAAAATTAAAAAGAATCGTAAAAATTAATTTACGTAAATGCACAGATTAAAATTTCTTTATTTAGAAAATCTCCACTATACTAAAGTTTCAGTTCAAACGTTATTAGAATTCGTGCCATCAATGCTTGTCGATGTGGAAAAAACTGAAGTATCAAAAGACTGCGATTATCTCGTTCGTTATTCGTGAACGGTGAGCGGTGAATGAAGCGATGAGCGCTCATTTTCATTCACCGTTCGTTGCATCTTGGAGAGGGCGTGAATTTTGCCCGGTTTCTGATGCTGCATGCATAATTAACGATTACATTGGAGTTGAGGAAGTACCATTGCTTGTTTACCTTTTCAGTGTTTTTAATTAATGAAGATAAATTAATTACAAATTCAAATCAATACTAATATAAAGTTGAAAGGGTTGTTTGCTTGTTTGAATGCGCTACGACATCGGCAGGACTTGACCTGGGATTCAAAGAAAGCCGTGTTGTTGCTTTAACCAATTTAGGGTCCGTGACCTAGACTTCTTCGTGGACTTTTTTCAACCTGTTTCAAAATTGATGACCACTCGCGCAATGTAATTTCAAACTTAACAGATTACCGAAACACAGTTAATATCTAGAGATTAAAAATAAATTACCTTAAAAATGTAGTTATGAATGTATCATAATTTAAAAATCGAAAATAAATTGAAAAAATTTTCGACTCGGGCAGGACTTGAACCGGCATCGTCAGCTTTCCGTGCTGTTGCTCTGTATCATAATTGTTGAAATTATAAAATGTATTATTGAAGCGAGTCATTGTTTTTTTAAAGAATGAAATTTACTATTTTGTCTAAAAGAATTCCGTTGAAAATAACATTCCTGATGTGACAGAAAGTGAAACAAAACTAAAAAGAATAGCTTTAACGCCGACTCTCATAAGACACAGAGCATCGGACTTATTGGCAGTTCAATTTATTTTGTTATTTTTCTATTTCACCTGTTAGATCGTCTTACTGTGCGAAGCTTTAATTAAATTTTATCACTTTATCAAGTGACAAAGAATATTGGACGTTTGTCTTTTATTTTATCTATAAATCGTTGAATGTCTTGTGAGGTTGTATGTATCGTAATACATAAATTGATAACAACTACAGAGTAAGAATGTTTTATCATATTTAATTTTTGCGCAAATCTAAATGAAACTGAAATATCGTTAACGTAAACTGAGTTCATACGTACCGTTTAAATTTTAAATACCGAAATAATAGCTCGGAATGGACGCGATTAAAAGTCCAATCTAATAAAGCATTGATTTCCCAGGACAGTACATTTCATTAGGCAACTTTGCGGAACGGTATCTTTTCCCCGGACCCGTCGGAATGTATTCCAGCCATAAATAACGACCGACTCTTAATGGACTCTCTAAAACCATGGGAGAACTGCTAATTGCCGTGGAAGTTGGTAATACGTGGACACTTATCCCTTGGCGATACGTGGGGATTCGTTTTGAATCAAATGTTTTGATGGAATTTTACTTTTACATCCTTGAACATGAAATTACTTCGAGGTGAATTATCAATTATTAAATTATATTAAAGTACGTGCTTTAAACGGGTAATATATAAAGTGATTGTTCTCATAAAATATCATATGATTTGCATTTATCAACGTCAAACCTAAATTGCTACAATAAAAATATAAGTACATTTTTAAATTAGAGAGAGATTCTCTTTAATAAAACACTTTTATCTTGACTTATTTTATTAATTTATTTAACTACGATCCGACAAAAAATTAAAATAAATTCTTGGTAAGTAAGATGACTAATACGTTTCGATATTTAAACCGCTAAAGTGTATTATTTAAATGTGTACTACTCGCGTAAACTACAGACTTTTGTCTAATTAAGTAGTAAAGTTGATAACTAATGAGAATTCTCGCAAGACGAGTATAAAAAATGTTGTGGTGTATGATCATAATTCTTGCACCGTGTTTTAAACACTATTATTATTGTAAAGTTAAAGAAATAAAATAAATGTGGCTATTATTAAAGAACTGTATTCACATCTTTTTGACTTATTATAGCGTAACAAGATTCGTAACTATGGCGACGACATATCATCTTAAGAACATTGAGTGGTATACAAAGGAGAATTTCTAATAATTATAATCCTTCACTTTGTGTTAAAACTGATTAAATTTTGCTCCAGGTAAGCTTGGACGTTTTTCTGATCTGTCTGCAAATTTCATATTAGGTTTAAGTTTGAAGGGTTGGAGCTTGGGACTAAGGCAATAACATTGGAATACGACCTGAGATTCAGTAGAAACTTAGTTAAGATAATGGGTGTTTTCGTTACTATTCTCCCAATGAATGTTGAATGAGATAAGATATCTATAAACTATATGTTACCTAAATTTCGTATGAAAAATAAAAAACAATATTTTAAAATTATGTTTATTAATAAAACTTTAAAGCACTGTTTTTATTCCTACACTCCAAACAATCGTTCTTCATTTCATGTATCTAAAGTTTAAAATTACTCACCGTTATCGTTTGCTTTAAAATATCTACCAAATGATATAATTTACAAAAAAAGGCTGGCTCACTTATAATAAAATTTAAATCTTTCTTTAAATATGATGCTACTAATTCACTAAATTATTTAGTCTGTAATTTGATGTGGTCTTCTTCTTTAGTCTAAAAAACTATAAGGCTGTAAATTCTGATGAAAATGTGGTCATTGGCACCGATCCTTGAATTTCACCTAGTTCAGTATTAGGCCCGGGCAGGGACCAAGTAGAGCTACCAGTGGCAGTAACCCTAGGTCCCATATTATCGTAACTCGGTTTTAGAAAACAAGTCTTACTACGTCTTGGTAGAGTCGAACCACCACCTAACAAATCAGGGTACTTCTCATTGTGACCCGTCACTTGGACCGATATGAAAATATTACCATACGGTGCTGGCAAAGCAAATTCCGCAGGCGGGGGTGGGAAACTTCCCGAAGGTCCTTCTATCGTTATATGAACAGGTTCAATGCAATTTTCACTATCCATAGATACAGAACGATCGAACATTTCAAATCCGTATGAAGATCCCATCTCGGTGCTGGTTCGTTCACAACTCGCTGCTAGAGATGTATCTAAGAGCTTTTTTTCTTGATCAGTAAAGCTTCGACTCGGTGGAACTCTTCTCCGAGTCTTCCAGCATATACAAGTAGCTATTATACCAACTCCTGCCATTGCTAGCATAGATCCAGCAGCTATGAACAAGTTAGAGTAATTGGGGGCACTGCGGGCAGTCGCCATTCTTGCTTTTGGAAGAAATATAGTTAGATAAGCGTTCGCTTCTCCTACTACACTTTTAGCAGTGCACTTCCATTCACCGGCGAATTCACTCGTCACATTGTTGATAGTAACGTTCACCCACTGAGCACTTTTATTAACAACATCGTCTCTATATTCATCGAAATGTCTTAAGCGATATCTGTAAATAATTATTTCACTAAAACTATTACTGCTATTCGATATCTCTTGTAGATGAAACGTCCAAGATACAGACGGCGTTGGATCTCCTTTTATGAGGCATCCGAAATAAATATCGGCTCCTATTTCTGTTCGGATAATTGAAGGGCTCGTGACAGCAGTCGGAGGGCAAGCCATGTCTATACTTTTCAAATCTCTCCATGACACTTGGTTTTTACTATTTGGTCCGATGCACACTAAATTCTCATTACCTAAATTGCTAGTTAAATACCACTCGTGAAAGTTTCGTAATCTGCAATCGCAGAACCAGGGATTATCAGAAAGTGTGAGGGTCTTCAAAAGCGGAAGGTTGAACGTATCTGGGTGGAGGTACGACAGATAATTCTGATGTACGTGTATAGTTTCCAGAGCCCGCAGATTCACGAACGCAAAGGGATGCACACGCCTCAGACGACATCGTGAAAGTTCTAATTTCTTCAAATGTTGCAGAGGCGGGAACTGCTCCACAACTAATTGGCTCAAAGGGTTGTCGTTAAGAACCAGAAGCCTCAAACGGTCGTTCCCTTTGAAAGTGTCAGGAGAAAGTTGAGTGAGCTCGTTGTCCGAAAGGTCTAATTCTATTAAAATACGGAGCTCTCTGAAAGCGTTGTGATGCAAGAAATGCAAATGCGTACCACTTAAGTTTAACCGCTGCAAGTTTAGTAATTCCGTAGCGACAAAGGCGTCCTCGTACAGTTGTCTCAGGACGTTTCCGTGTAGATCGAGAACTTGAATTTCCGATGCTAATCGCGGGATTTGTGTTAGGCCTGCCGAGACACAGGAGGCAGTCTTTTTGCCCGAAGACCACTTGCAATGGCATTCTAGGATAAAACCACAATTTAACCAGTCGCTCTCTATTTCTTGAATGAGTAGAATCAGCAGAAGGCACCATATTGATTGAATGCCCATTTCATATCCACTTGATTTGTTGTTTACCTGAAACAAGAAATATATTTAACTTATTACGCGTTTAAAAAATCAATAGACGATTAATTTACAGGATGTTTCTGTTAATTGTATGTTAAATAATTAATATATATAATTAGGCTTATAATTACATTTTTGAACTTAGGATTTTTTGCGAATATCTTACAATCAAGTGCAAGTGTTAATCTCAGTAAGTCAAGTGCTAAAACTTGGTATATAATGTACTTCTTAAACACATATAAAGGAATTTCGACCACATAATTGTAATCTCCTATATAACTGATGCAATTTTGTTTTTTTTTTATTTCAAAGGCTTACGACCGCTAAGAAGTAATATTATTATAACTATAATATTTTATAAAGACATAAAAGATAAATATATAGGTACCAGAAGGAAGCTATTATTAACAAATATACTCCGAGACATGGAAATTGTAACACTGTTTATATGTCGAGGTTGTCGATCAAAGTTGAGTCAAGTTCAAGAGGGAATAACATGCATTAATTGGGTCACTAAGTAGACGCCAACTTGTGTGGCTTCATCAGAGCGCGAATAGAGGAATTTCAAACGAATACTATTTATTTCAACATTTACGCTTAGAATACAAATTTTCAACTATTGGTGTCCTAAACTAAATGTACGTGATTATTTATTTTGTTTTATTTGTTAAAACAAATAACTAATCAACGTCGTCGTAATCAATTTTTCATTTCTATAATTGGTATTATAGAAATGAAAAATTGATTGAAAATTTTAATATTTTCACATGATGGTTCATGTGAAAATATTAAAATTTTCAACTGTAACATACTGAACATTTTCCCTTGTAAACACAACAAAAACTTTGTGACCACGGCTGCTTCAAAGTATCCGAAACGTCGGATCCTAATTAACATAAGTTAACTAATATTTCGCGTTTTGAACTATTGAAGCTCTATAATTTTTAAAAATCGAAAATAAATTGAAAAAATTTTCGACACGGGCAGGACTTGAACCGGCATCGTCAGCGTTCCGTGCTGTTGTTAAAGCTCTTTTATTTAAATGTGTAATACTTCTCCGAGTTTATTTAACTTATTGACTTATTGAATTTTATATGCGGCGTTTTGTCAAGAAGTCAATTTGAACTATATCACATTTTACATATAAGATGTTTAACTTCATAACTCCACAACAATGCACTATAAAGCAGTATTTTGCATAATCTAATGCATCTCCCAACTTACTGAAGTGGAAAGCTAAACTTTATAGGAAGAGCAAACTTGGAATTTCCCAGGAGTGTGAAAATATTTTCTTCCTCAGATTTACTCTGACGGATCCTGAGCTCTCGCAGTAAATGTTATCATTCGCAGATTATGCTTAGATTAGACTAGCTGACTGCAAACGTTATTTCGCCATTGAGTAAATAGACTAAGTTTGATTACATTAAAACGGCTCTTTTGAGACTATCGTAGAAGACAGACTTTTAAAATTTCCTGAATCTTGAACCGTTTTCGCACGCAACAAAATTTATCCATTTTTCCACATGTCCCATAGTTTCTTGTCTCCTAGTCACGATGGAATATCCAATGTCAAAAATAGGTCAACAACACATTCTACTGAGATGTTTTATGACCAGGGTATAACATCAAGTGCCGCCTATTAAAAAAAAGGAAAACGGAAATTCCCCTCGAATTTTGAGTAAGTTAACAAAATAGGTACTGAAGCACATTTTTAAATATTAATATTTAAAACTTAATATTAATTTTAACAATAAAAAGCAAGAAACCGACATTAAAAATATCAGATATTGCTCAAGGATACATTTTTAATACACTATCCTTTTTTTGTAGTGTTTTTTCACCATGTTATTGGGAAGTTACTACTACTAGTATTTTTTTTTCGCTTTAGACAAATTTAACAATTAATTATGATATAACAGTACATATGTCTCTTAAAAGCTATCTAGTTTCAGCGCAACGCGAGTGCTTAACAACGCAAACTAATTTAATAAGCCGTGGACATATAAGGCTTTTACACACGAGCTGTCACAGCACTTAAATATTAATCAAAGTCCAAATGAAGAAAAATTTCGGGAAACTACTTCTTTTTTATTTAATCATTTCTGAACACAATTTTTAATGATCATTCATGTTTGGTTAAACGATATTTTGATATGGCGATACGAAGAATAAATGGGGTCTCAAATACACAAAGCAACTTACTAAGAAGTTATGTTCCGCTCAAAGCTTAGTTTTAAACTGTTGCTTTGCGAAAACCTAGTTACAGTTGAAAGCTATTATATGGAGAGTATATATTTTATAAATAATACTAATATATCAAGCTGAAGAGTTTGTTTGTTTGATTGAACGAGCTAATCTGAGGAACTACTGGTTCTAGTTCTAGTTATTTTTCTTTGTGCTGGTTAGAGTGTTTATCGAAGACTATAGGCTATAAAGCAACAGCAGCAACAAATGTGGAAAAAACTGGGAAAATTATTCATCCTTGTAGGCTTCCGTTGCGTACGCTGCGAAAATGGTTCAAAATACCCAAAAAAATATGTACAAAAGAATTATTCCTTGTTAAATAATCAAAAAAAATTCAGTGACAGTATATGTCTATCTTTTAAGATTATTTCACAAGCGGTATGGTAATCAAATTTTGGTCAAATTACATCATATGACAAAACATTGCCCAGCCAGTATTAGCATAAATATACATTGGTTTTGATGAAAATATTGAAGCGTAAGTTATATTATATGACAGAGGAGGACAGAGAGGTTTACTTGATGGAAGAGGAAATAACCCAGAAACATGCCATTTAAACGAGGCCTATTTTAGTGTTGGACATTGGAAAATCCACTGACTGAAACCAAAAAGCCGTTCTGCCAATTCACTGCTTTGCTGGGCTAAATTGGAATTTCGATATTTCCATCACCCCCCTTTAATATCCAGATTTATCAGGCCAGGTCGAATAAGTATTACAACTATACATTTTTATCTCCCCGTGACCACGGCTGCTGCAACGCATCCGAAACGTTGAACCGTAATTAAAAATAATTCTTAAAACAAGTAACTAATATATTTCGCGTTTTAAACTGTTAAAGTTTATTTCAATGTGTATGTACTACGAGCATAGACTACAGAGATAGAAAATAACTAAAAATATTGTATCTGTAAACATTTACGAAGGTGAGATGCTCGTATGTAAATTATCTTAATATAAACTAATTTCAGAAGTTGTGGACAGGTATATATCATAAAACGCGGTCCGACGTGGTCTGCAGATAATTAGCACCACTTGCTTTCGTCTAGTTTTAAAACTCCAAGGTATAAGAGATTTTTAACTAGTTACGTGACTGTGATAAAATGTAACTTAGTTTACAGCTTAACGTTAGAAGTCTTTGTTCGACGTACATAGAATTAACAAATTACTGAAACTCATGCTGCACGTTATTACTAATAAAAGTATGAAGAAATGTATTACTTACTGTCTATAGTTTACGCGAGTAGTACACATTTAAATAAAACACTTTAACGGTTTAAAACGCGATATATTAGTTAAACTTATTTGAAAATGATTTTTAACTTCGGCCCGACGTTTCAGATGCTTTGCAGCAGCCTTGGTCACGGGGAGATACGGCGAAAGTGCTTTATTTTAATAAATAAAATTTACTCGCGTAAACTATAGACAGTATTTTTTTTATTAAGAATTCAGGATCTCCCCTTTCACTTGGAAAGGAAGTATCTTCCTAATTATAATTATTAACAGAACTTTTTTTAAATCAAATTATGAATTTATCTCGCGTAATGAATATTGTTAAGGAATAGTACATCACATTTAATATGTGTCTATGCAAACGAATGTGCATAATGCCAGTAATAAATACAAAATGCTGTTTACAGTTTCTCCCAACTGTTTAAATTAATCTGTGTAAATCGTACTATCAGTATTGGGTAACAGATTATATTTTTTATAGGTATTACCGATTTATGTAATTTGAGTTTCGGTATTACTAAACGTATCGAGAAATATTTCTTTACATAAGTTAAACGAACGTTACCTCATTTAAGAGTTATTAATTTCCTTTCAGAGTAATATACTACATACATTAATATGTAAATGCCAGCTGTAACATACAAGTGAACGGAACGCATACTTAATGACTGAGTTGGCTCCACACCAGCGAACAGTTTTAGCTTTTAGATAATATACGCCTAGTGTTCACCAAACAACGCTATATACTGCCTCGCTGTTTGCTGCATAGACAACGTATAAACAGTAGCGATAATTTAAAGGCTAATTTCAAACACAGGATCATATACTTTCAGCTCGTCACTGAAGTATGGTCAAGTATTTACGTGTAAAAGAATATATTGCAATAACCACAGAAGTGTGACAATCCTATATTCCACACAGGGGTAAAGAGATACTATACATTCAAACTTAAATTTTCTCCAAAATGTGAGGTATAAAGATTGTCTCAACATAATTTAAAAAAAAAACGATTAGATACCCGGGTCAACAACAGATGACGAGCATTCCCAACGTTTGCGATGCGTTCGACCCCCACCTGTGTGATTTGTTTAATTTTAATTTAAGAATCTATTTAACATTTTAAAACTTTTATTGTACGGACGGGACTCCAATCAACATAAAAAAAATATTTTAATGCTTTTAAAATACTCTTCAGTTAATACTTATAATTATAAAACATACATTATAGCAAATGGCACCTTACTGTTACCATGGCAACCGCAAATTTCGATGCGCCTGCGGCGAAGAACATAGTATAATATATGTAGTTAGTTGTCCTAGAACAGGCCAATATTATAGTGTGTGGATCATTAATTTCTATTATGCTTCTTCTATATAACTCACAAGTACTACAAAAGACAGACAGTGTAATATATTGTAAACAATGAATCCTTACTATCCTTACTAATATTATAAATGCGAAAGTAACTCTGTCTGTCTGTCTGTTACTCTTTCACGCCAAAAGTA